AGCGGCACATTTAAGACCAACAAAGGTTTATTCAAGGTATGAGCTTTTGTGTGCACACGCACTTCTTCAGATACAATGAAATGGAAATAGAATTAACAGTCATACATATAGAGCGTGGGCAGTAAATTAGCATACACACCCTCTGTATAATAGCCAGTTTGGTGTAGTGGTTAGGAGCACGGACTCTAATCTGGGAGAACAGGGTTTGATTCCCCACTCTTCCTTTCAGAGCTGTTCTCTCAAGGGCAGTTCTCCAGAGAGCTCTCTCAGCTCCACCTACCTCACAGGGTGTCTGTTGTGGGGAGGGGGAGGGAAAAGGTTGTAAGCTACTCTGAGACTCCTTTGGGTAGAGAAGGGCAGGGTATAAATCCAATCTCCTCCTCTTCTTCATATATATATATAATATTTTCTATTATCATTTCATTGTATCGGAAGAAGTGCATGTGCACGCGAAAGTTCATACCTTGAATAAACCTTCATTGGTCTTAAAGGTGCCCCTGGACTCAAAATTTGTTCTACTGCTTTAGACCAACATGGCTGCCCACCTGGATCAATTTAAAACAGTGTTATGTTGCTTTGTCTGTTTTAACTCTTTTTATATTCATGCACTTTATATGTTATCATAGTTTTATAGTCTCCTTATGTAACACAGGCTCAAGGGCTACATTTTGAGATTCCAACAGTCAATGCACTTTCTGAACATTTCCCATGAATAACGTGAACAGAACTAGGGATGCCAGCCTCCCAGTGGCGCCTGGGGATCCCTCCCCCGGAATTACAGCTCATCTCCAGACTATAGAAATTAGTTCCCCTGTAGAAAAGAGATGCTTTGGAGGGTGGACTCTGTGGCACTGTACCCCACTGAGGTCCTTGTCCTTCCCAGCTCCATCCCCAAATCTCCAGGAGTTTCCCAATCTGGAGCTGGCGACAGGACCCTCCCTCCATCCCCTGCCAGAGACCAGGGGCGACCTGGCAACCCTAAAGAACACATTTTGCTTTGCACCACATTATTTTAAAATGGTTACTTGTGCAGTGGTTAAGTTCATAATCCCATCCCAGATACCTGTACTTTATCCTTCTCCTACTGTTAACAGTAACAAGTAGGCCAAAGTAGCTCAGTAAGGGTTCGATTTACTGTTCTGCAACACAATACAGAACTTAGTGAAAATTATGTTATCATAAGTAGTGAATCTGTAAGGACTCATGGGAGGGTCACAAGCATCAAAACTGCAGAGCTTCAAACATTTCCACTCGGCTTCAGTAAGACGAGAACTACACAGGTACCTTAGGAGTGAGTTAAAATCTGGCATTTTGATCAGCTGGTAAGTGGCTGTTTTCAAACCAGTGAGAAGATTGCAGGTTCTTGTAATCAAGGCAGGAAAGGGATGTTCTTTCTGGTAAAATTTAACGTTAACTCTTTAAGACTAGGAAAGGAACCCCAGGAATCACTCAAAGTATTGGACACCAGATATTCACCATTCACATATCAGTGGACACATAAGCTTTCCATTGATGTTCACCATACTTATAATGACATTTAAAGAAAGGGCATTAAAATATAGAAAAATCATATATAGCTAAAGTTCTCTTTTTCTTGAAAGGAGGATTTTACAGTTGTATATTCTCCCTTCTCCCCCCAATTCCTCGCAAGCCACCAGCTTGTTCCCTCTAAGAGCAAACTTCATAGTTGGACCCAGGGGTCATTTTGTAGAAAAAGAGGTGCAGGAGCTCATTAGCAGAGCTCATTAGCATAACTTATTTGCATGTGCCACACCCCCTGACATCACCGGAAGTGTGTCAGAAGGCAACACTCACTGCTCAGGCGCCACTGGACTGTTTTGGATTGCTAGCTATTGGGGGGGGGGGCACGTGCATATCGCAGAGGAGGGAGAGCTTGTACCTGAATAAAACTTGGTCTTAAAGGTGCCACTGGACTGTTTTGGGCCGGGGGGCCGGGGGGGCTCTGCAACTTACCTGGCTGCTTCTTGCTCTGACTGAGGGCTGCTGGGAGCAGGGGGTGGGGCTTGTTGCATGTGCCCGCCCTCTGGGCTCTTTACTGCCGGAGCGCCACTCCTGTGTGCTCCTGCAGGAAATGACCCCTGGTTGGACCCATAGACAAGGAAGAGATTTCGTCATACTCCCAAGTACTTAGAAAAATATTAGTTTTCAAACTAAAAAAGAAAAGGCAAAAGCAAATCTCCCCCCCCCCAAACATATACACCATAGCTCAATAATGACTGGACGTGCTCATTTTTCTCCAGGAGGCACATAAATGCTGAAGGCAGCTGAATATTAGTTGAAGAGGGTAGAGAGGGAATTATTGTGCTCAGGCCTCCTACAGTACTTAATATCCTGAAAAGCATGACATCTGTACCTTACCGCCATCCAAAAAATATCATCTTCCAGACCTGCACTCTTGTGGGGGGAAGGAATCCCAACTGTGTATTCCCCTTTCAGTTATTTGTGTTTAATTTATATCTGGAAGAACCTCCCTGCACTTCCCAGGTACATTTTGCAGTCCCCTTTTTAGATAAACAATATTATATCTTTTCTGAGCAGAGGTGAAAGTAGACAGAATTTGGCAGGGTCACTAGCATGTAATGTAAATTAGGGAGGATGGGTACTATCACTATTGTATGTTCTAAGCTTTATGGGGTGGGGTGGGGTGGGGTGGGGAGAATTCACCTTAGTTTTCAGTGGAACTGCCATAGCAAGAGTATTGTGTGCAATAACGGTTGTTAGATGGACATTATAATTAATGTTTATTGTAACACCTGGCATTATATTGATGTACTAACTTCTACCACACTTTTCTCCCTAATGGGGACGTAAAGCAGCTTACACAGCTTCATTTTCCTCTCCTCCATACTTTCCTCTGAGAAAGATTAGGCTGAGATGGGGGAGGACTGGCCTAAGGTCACCCAGCAAATTTCCATGGCTCATTGAGGATTCAAACCCGGCTCTCCCAGATCCTAGTCTGACACTCTAGCCACTATACCATACGGGCTAAAAAAATGTTTTCCAAAACAGGAAAAAAATAGTATAATGCCTTAATGTTAATGGCAAAATTAACATTGATTTTAATTGATCTGGATATTCTCTTGTGAGCATCTGCCTTACTGGGTACCTTAAAATTAGCAGGTGGGGGAAAGAGAAACTAAATTTCTTACAGCTTTCCATTTTTGTCTGTGGTTTCATGTGAGCCCCTAGTATTCCTGATAATTTTTGAAAGCTTTGAAATCCCCTCTGCATAAACTCCACTCTGCTTACTGCTGAATGGGGAGGGCACTGATCTTTTTATTAGTCAGTAATGGATTGGGTTTGATTGCTTGACACAAGAACAATGGAAGGATAAACAATTCCATTTGTGGCCATGAAATTCCCCATCTGTTTAGCGTGTTTGTGTTCAGGAAGAACTGGACAGAGACAGATGAACAAGCCAGCCGCATCTGATGTTAATGGCATCAGTCATACAAGTAGAACATGTGGCATAATAAATCAAAAACTAATTGAGCTTTGAGCCGATTGTATTGATTGCTTTCTGAACCTTTTAAACATGCCAGTGTTTTCTAGAACAACAGCCATTCCCCCTCACGCCATAATAGATTTGCTAGCATGGGGGGGTTTGGAGGGTCAACAAGTGAGGCAAATAACCCCTTAAATTCTTTTTGTTTGAAACTGTAGTCTCCTTCACAAGTTACAGTGAGCACATGTACAATCTGTTTGTTTTATACATGCATTAAATAATACTCATGTTACACTGAACACACATACAGCTGAACATGTGATTTAAACCCCACATTTATGCCAGTACCAGACCCGACTCCCCAGTTACATTTGTAAAATGAACATGTGTTGATTGTTTCTTAGAAACAGGTATGCCTACACACAGAGAGGTTGTGTTCACTGGAACATGTGAACAGGGCTCTTTACCATAGTGTAAAAAATACAAGAGCAGTCTTTGGCTAATTTGCTCAGTATACATGTTTTCTCTTAAACATTTAATTGCATCATGACAGTGATAGCAAGTTCTCTTCTATGACATCATGCACCAGGAACCAGTGTTTCTGACCCAAGGTACCCTATATACAGTCAGGTGAAGAGTGTATTTATTATTATACATTATAACTTCTCAACAACCTACCTGAAGAGATTATAAAATCGAATATGCTCATTACTGTGATAATTGCTGAAAACAATAACCTTGAAATGAATTAGTTCTTAAATACCTAAGCTTCAAGGTAGGGAAAAGACACAGTGATTTCAATGGGCTTTCCTCCTGAGTAAGTGGATGTAGAATTATAGCTGGTATCTATTGGTTTTAGCGGGAGCTTGAGCCACATCAACAAACCAGGCCACCTATTAAAAGGGCTAACTGGAGGCTTGGAGGGAGCAAGCATCTATATTTGAAAATGTTCATCTCTGTGCTAAAGGCTTGGGTGCTGTTGGAGCATTTTAGCCCACCGGCTTATAAAACTGTTTGTCTCACAGCATATATTCACTACTGACTACTTATTTTATAAAAAGGAATATGCCTATTTCTTTAGGTGTAAAGTGCAACTTAAGTATATCAATAAATACTACAAAAGAAAGCCTACTGTGTTTACTTCAATAATTTTTTATTTGATCATTCACTATCTGCACACAACATGCCTGCATTCCTTCAGTACTTCACCACTTATTATTCCTGAGGGTGTGCCTGCAAACTGTATGGTAATAAGAGGGGCTATGCAAATAAAATATTACTAGCATGGCAGTGGCTTTAAGGAACAGCTAAATCAAACCTTGGCGTGAGCAGAATTCATACAAAGGCAGACGAGGGTAGAAAATGTGGCAATGAAGAATATGGAATGAGATGAGATCACAGCATCAGTCTGTCCTTTGTGGACCTGGACAATGATCACGGAGCCAGATGGGATTAGTGAAACCTATTTACTAGAAGTTCAGAGCAGTTGCATGAAGCTGATAGGCAGCCAGGAGAGAGAGAGAGAGGTGAAAAAATGCACCAGATTTACAGCTGCGGTGATGAAAATTTAGAAGTGTTCACTGTGATTTCATCCAAATGTGAGTACCAGTCAACCAAAGTTATTGCTGGGGCTGTGGGCTTTATTGAAATGGCATGTTGGGGGAGGGGGTGTCTTCCCAAAGATACATTCAGATGCCTTCTTAGCTGCACTGTACTTGCTGTGTAGTAATCTGTCCCCCCCCCCCTTCCCAGAGAGAATACAGGCAAACATCTAAATGTTTCCAGGAGAATAAACAGTGTGCAGTTGTGGGACTTCATATGGCTTTGTTGCTAGGTCTTTGAAGTCACCCTTGAGGTGACAAAACATAATATTAGGAATATAAAAAAGATAGATGCAGAATAGTTAGATGCAGAACATGGCTTTGTTTGTGTGTGGCCCAGAGGATCAAAGGAGGAGCTGTTTGCAAATTGGGTGTCTTCAGGCTGAATGTGTAGTTAAGCGTAGTGTTAGCCTGTCACAAAGAGCATAATTCAGACAATGATCCATATGCATTCACAGGAACAGTAATTTTTAGCTCCTTAAGCCAAAAGAGAGAGTGAGCTATCTTTTTGTAAAAAAAAGGTAATCTAATTTTTCTCAGCAAACTCAGCCCTGGGGTACACAGTTGTCTTTTTCAGATCACTAGGAAATTATGCGGATAGAATTGTCACTAGGTTCACAAGAATATGCTTTTCATCACTGGAGTTATTAGGGGCATGAACTAAAACTTCCTTATTGAAACATTTTGGGGTAACCTATACTTACTCTACTTAGGCCCCGGTCACACAGCAAAGTTGCCGCGGGAGAGGCACGGATGGTGGGCGGATTATCCGGGCGCGATCACACCCCAACATCTGGGAAGTGGAGCGCACCCGTGGCTTACCACCGACAATGCGCCTTAAAAAAACTAGTACTTCCAAGGTACTAGTAAACGTTTGCCACAGGCTGCCTCCAGACGCCGGTGGTGTGATTGCGCCGGTGCGCGGCATTCCCCTCCAGTCACTTGTTTACCCACCGGCGCCAAGGGAAGGACCCGTGGTGTGCCGCCTGCGCTGGGCAATTAGCCACGCCTCCCCCCCCCCCGCGATATCCAGCCCATGTAACCGGGGCTGTAGTAAGTCAAGGCCAGAGACTCAGCCTGCAGGAACTTCCTACAAAGATGATTTTGTAAGCAGTAAACAACCAGACAAAGATACCATATGCAAGCCAGGGAGTTTATACTACTAACTACTAGTAAGAAGACAGAATTTTGGCAGGTGCTGTTTCGCTCCTAGGGCACTGTGGCCTGTCAAACTGCATCTGCTGCAATCCCCTGTCCTATGCTGCTGACAAAACTCTTGAACTCTGCCTCCTACCTTATCACCTTAGCCCGGGACAGTACCTCTGAGTCTGTGTTGCATGCCATCCCCTCAGTCATGAGAGATCACAGCCCTCCACGTACATCTAGGATTAGGAGGCAATGTGGACTTGGACCCCAGTGCTTTTCAGTACACGGCAGCACTGAGTGTTCAGAGAATGATAAATCACGACCATAGTATGCAGATTTCCTGCCTGTAACTTAACTGCTGATGGCTCATGGAAAAGCAGTGGAACACACGCTTGAAGGTGCATTGTTCCATCTTCACCTATTAATATCGTTAACTTTGGACTTATGGAAGCCGTGCTGGGAAAACCCTCTTTTCAGGATTCTTATTGGTAGTATATAATTTTACTGATCTGGCCACAAATTAATCCTACCATTGCTAGGCAGCCAGAACAAAAGTATGCAAAGCTTCCAACCAAATATGAACATTTAGTATTGTTTACTGTTGGCATACTTTTTAAAAAACATTGGCATTAAAGTATAACCAACAGAAGTGGAACCTTTACATATCCACTGGACTGTCAGGTGCCAGAATTTGTTAAAACAAACATCAGCCCCCATGCGCGTTAGCCTGATAAGGCAGTTCCTTAGGCCTTATTTCATGTTAAGGGTATCACTGACACTCACCTGCAGTAACAAACATCCCGTTAAAGTCTATTCAAATAGGGCTGTTCATGCCTTCTACCTTCAGCTAAGCAGTTTGCTGCTTCCCCAGCCTGCAGACATTCAGCATCTGAGCTAGAGGATTACAAAGGGCAAGCTGAAAGCAAGCAAGATGATTGTTATAAGGCACTCATTCACTGTCAGATCTGGAGCATCATTAACATAATTCCAATTGCATTACAGAAAAGGAAACAGTCTTTCCACTTTGCTGTTCTTTCTTATAGGAGGACAAGTGAACTGCCATGAAAAGGTGTCCATTAGCTTTATATGACTGAAATCTTTCCAGCATTTGTGTTTTATTTAAAGGTCGCTCTTCCATGACTCAGGTGGAACTCCACCACCACTTACTCAATTTCTTCTTCAATTCTGGATAGCATTCGCAGTTAGTGCCAACACTTTATTTCTGCTGTCTGGATATAAGGTTATTTTTGTTTGTTTGACTGACTGGCTAACAGTTTAAACTGAGAACAATTTTCATTCATAGGCATTTGTACAATCTCGACATGCTTTTAAATACCAGCATCCCCTCAAAATAGGTGTAATCATTGGCTGCAATTAAAATCACAGATAAAATAGGAACAGCCACAGATTTGCTATTACTGTTTTAAATGCTTTCTGCAGTAGCATTGCCTCTGCAAAGTGCCTTGGGCTCTTTGCAATACATAGTTTAAAATTTATTCACTTCCATCCTCTTGGTCCTCAGAAAAACTTAGGGACCCCCCCCCCCCCCGTACTTTCCATCATAGGTAGCTTAGAGGGCCAGATGTATTTTTCCGGAGTCCTTCAAGCATACAAAATTCTCCCTGTACTTTTCCTCACAATTCCCTTGTGAACTGAGAAATGAAAAAGGAATCCTATCAGCTTTACAGCATGGGCAGAGAGTTGGTACCAAGTTTCATTCATCCATACTGGGGATCCCCTGGAATTACAGCTGATCTCCATACTACAGAGATCAGTTCTCTTGGAGAAAATGGCTGCTTTGGAGGGTGGACTCTATGGCATTGTATCCCACTGAGGGCCCTGTCTTCCCCAGGCTCCATCACCAAATCTCCAGGAGTTTCCCAACCTGGAGCTGGCAACCTACTCCTCCATCTGCTGCTGGTGGCCAGGGAAACCTGGCAACCATAGGCCTTGTGCTGCTATCTGTAAAACACCCACAGCTGCTTAGATTAGCCATGGCAGACATGCTTGATATTCCATCTTCCTGTTGTATAAAACATACATAGACTACGCTGGAGTTCTCCCAGCATAGTATAATACTACAGATATGACCCTCCAAAAAAACCGAGGTGCACAGAAGTTCCTGTAGACCAACAGTTAGGAAACACTAAGAAATACGTCTTTTTACAGAAGCATATATGGATTTTATTCATAGTTTCCTGGTTGATGTTTATAGTATAGATACTGCTTTCTTGTATTTATATTCTACTGAGGATTCTACATTAACTTCATTTGTAAATCAACATGAACTCATTCAAAGTGTTCCGCATACTAATAGACTTGCAGCCCAGTCTGGTAAATGGGGATGTGCAAGGTCATTTTGAAAACATGGCAGCATCTTCAGTGCTCAGAAAACAGCACACAGTATTTCAGCTTTCAGGATCAGATCCTCACTCAGCCATGGAAGCTCACTTGGTGACCTTGGACCAGCCACACACTCTCAGCCTAACCCACCTCACAGGGTTGTTTTGAGGATAAAAAGGTGGAGAGGAGAACACTGTAAGCTGCTTTGGTTCCCCATTGGATAGAAAGGTGGGGTATAAATGAAGTAAATAAATAATTTTCATTTCTTCTACTCAGGTTTTTGAGCAACCATAATGCAGAAGACAAAATATATTAATCTAGATACTTTATGCTTGGGACTTGTAATCAGAAAAATATACATGTCAATATCAATCAAATTAGCAAAACTATATATTTCTTTCCTGCAAAAGACACATTTAGGAGAAAAGATCTATACAAGACCATTACAGAGGCACTGTAGTATATCAAGTGGGTAACGAAGCTTCAAATCCTTTCTACATTCAGGTGGATGCAGTGAGACATGTTCTCTCTGAACCTTTCTCACTTCTATTGGCTTGCTGTAGACAGTTACAGAGACCAGTCATAATGCACATATTGTCATGGTGTTAGCCCTTTTCAGTCATTACACTTGACCATATGTAAAGTGAGAACATACTACACACAATCCTTCCAATACACATGTTTGCCTTTTTATCTGAAAGGGGCTATGCACATATAGTCCAGCTTCAGAACCCAGATATAATGGTACATGTGGTCTGAAGGTAGAATATACAGGTATCATCCCTTTCAGACAAAATGGTAACTGTGCATTTTGGGAGACTCATGTGCCCCCAATACATGATTGCCAGGTTTCCAATAATTGTGACAACTGTTTCTGTTTTGTCAGGTGCGTGATAACAACAAGTACCTAACTGTAAAGCATTCATAATACAGAGTTCCAAGTGTATCTTTGCTACAGGATAGCCATCGAACAAGGTTGTCTCATAGTGGTGGGGAAACAGTTGTATGATCCAGCTCCTGGCTCCTTGACTTCTCTCAGCATGACCCAGTCTGTTCAAATTCTGTCTTAGGTAAAACATTGAACTCACTCAGTGCCTTCACTTCATTCTGATAATCCTTCTGTTCTTTTTGTAGCATGTAACCCCATCAGGAGAAAAACTAAAGGTACACAATGCATCCTATCCAAAAAGGTAAGAAAAAAATGTAGGTTACAAAAGTAGATTTCTATTGCCCATGGAATTGATAAATGGATCATTCCAGAATATGGAGTGCCACCCGCACATTTAAGGATACAAAAACAAATGTTAAATGACACAAATAACCAAAAAATGGGGGTTTTTTTGTTTTGCCAAATATTTTATTACTTTTGAAGATAGCCTCTCAGGAGAAAAATCATATCCAGTGTTTAAAATATCTGAGAATCCAGGAAGTGTTTGGAATAGATGAATTAAAATATAGATTCAGTGTTGTGTGGCTTTGCATAATGCTTGTAGAGGGGGGGGAGATTACCTTGCTAACTAATCAGTTCCCAAAGAATGACTGACATGCCACAGTCTTCATACTGTAAATAGTTGCCTGAGTAATGTAAAAAATTAGGACTTTTCCCCTGTTGTTCTTCACTTGCAGTCAGTAGAACCAGCTCCCGCAGGATGAAAATTGGTAGCTTTTCCTCTACCAACCCAAGAAATAGCAGAATGGGTATAACAAAAACAAAATAATTCACTATACACATGGTAAACTGACGTGAAGGGAGAGAAATGAGGAGAGAATAACACCAAAATATGTGTACAAACGAATGCAATATTAGGTACCGGGTATGCTCTAATTTAAGAACATGGCAGAAAACAGCTTGAAAAACTAATCTTTCATATGGTACAGCATGAGCCATTTAAGCTCAAATTGTGATACATAATAGCAGTGAAGGCAGGAGAAAAGCAGGGGAGGTAAAACATCCCTCTTCTCTCTGGGTTGTCTTCCCCCTTATTTATTTATTTAGCAAATGTACATGTCTCATCTCCAGAGGCCAGTTGAAGGGGGCTCACAAGTAAAACCATACAATATAATTATAAAAAAACAGTAGCATAAAAACAAGACCAAAATAATTACACAAAAACTAGCAATTAAAAACTCTTCAAAAACAACTTGGAGAAGAGGGGGAAGCTTTTATATATACACACACATACACATGTCCCGCTTTTATCTGGGAACCAAACATAAACTGGCTTACAAATCAGATCTTAAAATAATATTATCAAAATTAAAATACAGCACAAATATAAGAACAAAGGGGACCAGTCCCACAAAGCCCAGCAAAATAACCAACAGGTCACTTGACCAATCAAGACATCAATTACCAGGCAATTTCAAAGCCTTCTTGATAAATCCTGCTTTGTGCAGCTACAAGAACTGCTGTAAATTAGACATCTTCCTCATTCCAGCAAAGGATTATGAAATGTTGGAGAAGCAACAAAAAAGTCCTGGGTCAACTTGACATAGATTTCGCTTCCCTACAAGATGGCGTTATTATTGAAACTTAAGGTAACATCTGTAGTGTATCAGGCCCTGACAGGGCCGGGCATGCCTGGACTTGTCCAGGCACAAAGACTCTAGCTTCAGACCAAAAGACAATGGGCAAGTAGGATCCTAGCCAGGCCCAATGAAAGGGCTAGGGCCCAGGCCAAGAGGCCAATAGGTCTCTTGGTTACTGTAAATAGCCTATCGGGAGTGGGGGGGTGTTTGGTGGTGGGTTTCCCTGAGGGAATATAAGCCGGCCTGCGAGCTGGGTAAGGTGTCTTGTTCCTGACTAAATAAAGGTATGCTTACCTGAAATCACTCTCCGTGTGCATACTTTTCAACATCCAAATTTGTCCCATAGATGTATATGGGGAAAGACTCTGAGATGCAAGGGTCCCAGGCCATGAAGGACTTTAAAGATTAAAACCAGTATCTTGAATTGAACATGGAAGCAAATGAGCAGCCAGTACAGAGATCAAAGAATCATGGTCAATATACTCTGCTCTGTTAATCATCATGTCACCAATTGAAGCTTTCATATAACTGGAAAGAGATGTACATATTCTTCCCCCAATTCAAAGTAGGAAAAACTCTTTTAAAAAATGCCTCTACCCATTATTAGAATTGCAACTCTGCCAGAGATGACATGAGGTCTTTCAGGCTTGTAATCCTGATGGATACACTCCTTTAATCCTAGACAGGACAAAAATAGCAGTCACCTGGAAAACTGCCAGGCTCTTCCACAGCCATAATACTTGTGTGAGCGGGGCAGTGTGAAGTGCTTCTCAGTCACATGACCAAACCTGTGAATTAGCCTCAGATGCCTCCCCATTAACTGTTTCCTAGCTGCAATCCTTTTTAAAGGACAGCCATCAGTTTTCAACAAAACATGGCATTTATTCTTTGATTTATCACTGCTCGTGTCTTCTCTCACCTGATAAATTTGTTTTCAAAGTCCTGAAAAATGTGTAATTGAAGTATCTTAAAGGACAACTTTAAGAATAAAAAAATCTGTAACTCTTAACAAGTCCCGTTAAAGTCAATGAACAGATACTTTCTTGGTGTTTTGTCCCGAGTGGGCATCGTCACATTGGACCCATCAGTATCTGGAGAATTTTACAAGCTGCCACACAAAACTTTGCAGTCTGTGCAGAAACCAGTGGATTTTTGTCTATATGTAGCATTCTAGCATCTGTCTGATCGACTGGGATACCTACTAAGCAAGGGAAGGATAAACTTGGAATGAACCTCTTGATATGCGGGGCAATGAAGCAGAACGTGTCTCATAGTTTTTATCTCCCCTGAACCACAGGGACATAGCCTGTCTGCCTTTGGAATCTTTTTATAATGCCCATCCAAGACCGCACAAGGGGGTGCTCAACATCTAGCCAGGGAAAATGCCTTCCTGTGACTGAAAATCTCCAATTGGGAGAGATAAGCAGCCCAGGAAACTAGATACCTAGAGCTTTCCAAAGGCAGGAAAGCTGGTGACCTCTCTAAATCTGCCTGCCGCTCAGTATCCATCACCCTTTGCTTTAGAACTTGTTTTGTAAACATTTAATTATATTATAGGCAGATTTTTGTCCAACATCAGCTACATAGTCATAATGGGCTTTCTTCGAGTCAGAGGCATGCAACTGTTGTTGTTCAGTCGCACAGTCGAGTCCGACTCTTTGCGACCCCTTGGACCACATCACGTCAGGCCCTCCTGTCTTCCGTTGTCCTCCAGCAATACAACCTCTAAATACTTAAAACTGGCCATTTATGCTCCATACCAGGGTTTTAGGTTTCTTACCAAATGCTATAACTTTGGGCTCTCTGTAATTTATAACTAAATGGTCCTTACTACAATACTGGGCAATCCTTACTGCTCTTTCAAGTCCTATTGGAGTCCTCAAAAGGATTACAGTGTCATCTGCATACAATAACATGGCAACCGTACGATTCATTAGCCCTCTGCAATTAAGAAAAGAGAAGAAGAAGAAGAGATTGGATTTATACCCCGCTCTTCACTCAGAGTCTCAGAGTGGCTTACAAACTCCTTTCCCTTCCTCTCCCCACAACAGACACCCTGTGAGGTAGGTGGGGCTGAGAGAGCTCTTTCAAGAACTGCCCTTTCAAGGACAGGTCTTGTCAGAACTATGGCTTGCCCAAGGTCATCCAGCAGCTGCAAGTGGAGGAGTGGGGAATCAAATCCGGTTCTCTCAGATTAACATGTGGTTTGCTTCAGAAGTAACTTTTGTAATGCATTAATAGTGCACAATATTTTTAATTCTCCACACTGGTATCTGGGTAATTTGGCTGCAGTTTGTACAAGAGTGTTTAGCAATATTGCCCTGACCTGAGTAGCCCAGACAAACCTGATCTTGTCAGATAAGCTAAGCAGGTCCGACCCTGGCCAGTACTTGGAAGGGAGACCTCCAAGGAGTACCAGGACTGGGATATAGAGGCAGGACACAGTAAGCCATCTCTCTGAAACATCCAAGCCCCACTCGGGGTTGCCAGAAGTCTACCATGACTTCCAGGGGTATACACACACAAATACCAAAAACAGACAGGCAAAAAGAGTATTTGGCAATACTGAGTTGGATCCCACCAATACATTCCACTAACCAAGACCTAGCATTAAGTAGTGATTAGAGTGCTGGACTAGGATCTGGGAAACCCAGGTTCGAATCTCCACTTGCCATGGAAGCTTGCTGGGGGACCTTGGGCCAGTCACACACTCTCAGCCTCACCTGCCTCTGAGGGTTGTAGTCAATGCTCCTTCTAAGCTGTGGAGTCCTGTGAGCCAAAACTCTACTTTGTGAGCTACTGACATTAAAGTTGTGAGCAAGCAACTTGGCTAGTGCATAAATTAGTTTGCTCTGGAGCCATCCTTCCTGAGCTAAGACAAAAATGTGTGAGCTGGAGGCTAAAAAACAGTGAGCTAGCTCACACTAACTCAGCTTAGAGGGAACACTGTTTGTAGTAGGGAGGATAAAATGGAAGGAGAGAGAATGATGGAAGGAGAGAGAATGATGTTGGAAGGCAATGGGAGTCCTTCAATTAGTGAAGGGTGGGGTATAAATCCAATCTCCTCCTCCTCCTTCTCTTCTTCTTGTATTAGTGTGCATGTTTCTTGCACCAGAGCACAGTGCTGCCATTAGGGAATGGATCCTCAGGAACCAGCCCAATGTTTCTAAAAGGCAATTATTAGTGTCTTGGAAAATGCCTTGAAGCGGGGGGGGGGGACATGTTTTGCATGGCTCCACATGCTTTACATAACTCCACAGCAGAGGAACAAACTAACCCAATTAAAGGAATAAGTGGCTGCTGAAACAGTAATCAAATATTAGTTGTTGTAGATTTTCCGGGCTGTATGGCCGTGGTCTTGGCATTGTAGTACAGCTGTGACTGGCATCCTCAGAGGTATAACACAGAAAGATGTAGTACTCTGTGTCAGGTACTACAATGCAAAGACCACAGCCATACAACCCAGAACATCTACAACAACTAATTACTCTGGCCATGAAAGCCTTCGACAACATAGTAATCAAATATGTCGAGAGTTGCTCAGCAATACTGCTTACTCTGACGGACTCTGCAGTACATCTGAACAGCTGGCAAACTCACATTTGTTGCTGTGATACAATTAGAAAAGAAAAGTGACTTCAAGATTATCCTAGAGATTTACCTTGAGTGTTCAGAATGACCTAGAGAAGCATGAAATCCTGCTTAGATCTAAACTGTGCTACTATATACATGGTTTCCTGACCCACATAAATCATCCAGACTTATTCTGGCATGGTAGGAGGCCAACACAAACACACGTGATTCACATGCATTCCTAATTCTTTTAAGTATCATTGGTAGAAGAAGCAACTACATACTGCAATTGGTGGGGGCTGTATTAACTGCAAGACAATCTCAGATTTTGTGTGCATGTATATCTCTATATTCTGTAAGAGAATAATTATTGCTCACCTCTGGCATGCCCTTCAGATCAGCTCTGATTGGTTTTCCTAGAAAAACAAAATCTGGACACAACTATGCATGTGGAGGAGTGGGGAATCAAGCCAGTTTGGTGTAGTGGTTAAGAGCGGTGGACTCTAATCTGGAGGACTGGGTTTGATTCCCCACTCCTCCACCTGCAGCCAGCTGGGTGACCTTGGGTCAGTCACAGTTCTCTCATGAGCAGTTCTCTCAGAGCTCTCTCAGCCCCACCTACCTCACAGGATGTCTGATGTGGGCAGAGGAAGGGAAGGAGATACTAAGATGCTCTGAGACTCCAAGTGGAGGGTGGGATATAAATCCATTTTTTTAAAATTACCCCTGCTATGATCATTCTCTGTAGGGATATTTTAGAAGACTTTCTAGAAACATTAATTGCTGAGAACTTCATCCAAAACCCTGCTCTGCAGAGGTTGGATGGGTACTTACCAGAGACCCAACTTTTCTTGTTTGGATGCCTCATGCCTCATTCGATTCCACAAAAATAAGTTACATAGTGTGATTTCTGTATTAGGTTGCATCATCTTTGGAGGGGCTTTCTGGTGGCAGAAAACTATGGAATGCCCTCTGCTGCCAGACAGAGCTCATACCTCATAGTTTTTAGGAATGCAGTGAAAACTTTCTGTGTTCGGACAGACATTTGAACTAACCTTGGTGGCTTTGCTGCAGGATTGATTTTAAGAACTGCTGATCTCCGTTCATGTGCTTTCTAGATTTTTCTTTTGCTTTATATTTTATAGCATTTTAAATTGTCCTTACTTATATTGCAATTGTTTCAGCACATCTTTATGCAACTGAAAGCTGCTTTGTGGGTACTACTACTGAAAATTTTTAATAAATACTTTTTATAGCACTTTACTGCTCCCTTCACATATGCCTTCTTGTTAACAGCACTTTTACTGGTTTTACACAAAGATCATACAAATGTTTCATATTTTATTTTATCAGCCAATAGGCTGGCAGTCCATCACCATTACAAGCTATTCTTTAAATTCATTCATTGAAGTGATCCATGGCAAACAGGAAATGAGACAGCTTCATCTCTTTCCCCATAGGTGGTGGCAGTGTCCAGCTATCAGCCTCAGGGAACAGATGAATTGTTGTCACACCAAGGTGATCTCATTCAAGTCTTCTACAAAAACAAAGATGGGCGAGATTGCAGCCATCTACAGAACAGGCAGAAAGGATTCTTCCCTCATCCTACCAAGTGCCCTGAGACGCACAGTAAGTCCTCAGGAATTAAGCCATAAATCAGGCTTTGTAACTATTCCAAAAGGGTGGACAAGTTCATCTCTTCTTCTTTAAAAAAACAGACAATCCTGTTGCATCCTACAGACCAACCCTAACACATTAATTATGGCATGCTGAACAAACCGACCATGCTTGACACAGGCCGCAGTCACACACACTAAATAATCCACTTTCAGTGCACTTTCCAACTGGATTTTGCCAGTTCACACGGTAAAATCCAGTTGGAAAGTGCACGGAAAGTGGATTGAATGGATTATTTAGTGTGTGTGACCACAGCCGTAGTATCTTTTCATCTATATGAAGCTTTTTCTTCTGAAAAAGTAGTTTTGATAAGGATCCCAACAAAATGAAGGCTGTGCTAATCATGTTATATGATATTAACCTGCAGGAAGTACACTGAACAGAGAATCATTGCGTGCATTTTAAGCAACATTCAAGGATGTTCCTCTACAGGATAATATATAACATTCAAATATCTTGTAAAATTAAAGAGCAAGGTTGCTTCTTGTTTTTTACACTTTCACAGAACATAAAATGTCTTTTTCAAACACACTACTACTACTGTCCCTTTTTAAAAGTATTTATCTGGGAACCCTTGTTCAGAACAGGAAAGGAAGATTCAGCCAATCTTCACCTTCACCAGTCACGACAATACACCTGTCTGACTTTTCATTCCTCAAAAAGTCTCATACTGTAGCAGTTCTCAAACATACAAGATTTCACACACAGGGAAATGAAAGCATTAATGAAGTCTCTCCTCTTTATTGTACATTGCAGCAGAAATATCTAAACAACAGTCATCCAGCTGTGGCAATAATCAATCAGATGTAAAGTCTTTGGTAAGTAAAACATAATACAAAGTTAGCTTTGCTTTTCACCTGTGATGATTGTTATAGCCTGCATGAGAGAGTTTTAGTACAACAGTTCATGAAACATCCTCAGTCCTTTTTATAACAGATGGTGGCCCATTACGCACACACATCTTACTGTAGATTTTCAGAGAAGCAAGCCTTTGATTTTGACTTCAGATTCTGTGCCTGCTTTAGTAACCATTTTTCCCCCATAAGGTACATATATACCCTAAAGCTATAATTTTAAAAATGCATGATCTCATAATATGGGGGAATATGTTGAGTGTACAGAATGCACGGTAGAACCTACTGACACTGGCACTGCAAGCTGTGATCTTTGGCAATGTGTGTTTGTGCACCTGTGCAAAGTCGGCTGCAACTCCACCATGCTTTGCAAAGGGCTGAAATTTGTATGGGGGAGGAGTCCTCTGGCAGATGCTCTGGAGAACCTTTTTTAGTCTTGTACCACTAAATTGAAAAAAATGGGGGGGGGGAATTTTCACCAATGCCCTAGTGCATCTGCTTAGTAATGCTAATTTCCTGCCCTTCCTTACAAATTTTTGTGAGTTTGTGATTCTCTAATTTTTTTTTGTATGTAAACTCTCCTAAAAAGGAGAGAATTTTATTGCTTTTCATATAGAAAGGGGGGAGGGTATATAGAGCGGCAAAGAAAAGGTCGAGTGATGTTTTCATTAGTATATTAATCTGTTAGTAATAATAAAAAAGTTCTTCTTTGGCTTCATTGTGTTGTCAATCATCTTTCATCTTCTCAATTATAAACAATTGTTAAGAAATTAGTAGTGTCCCACTATTATACTGTTAATTTAAAAAAAAAGACTTTTCAAACGCCTTGCGAGCTGTTTCTTCTATCTTCGGGCTGGTTTTTCCTCCGAAAAGACAGGAAGGGTCCTCCTCCTCCTTCTCTTCTCCAGCTTCTTAACTTCTCTTCCGGGTCTTCGCTTTCCAATCACAATCTGCAGCTGCCGCTTTTCAACACGCCTTCCCGATAAAGTCCCAAGCTTTTAGAACGATTATTTCTCTTTTTATGTCTTTCGACTTTAAAATAAACGCTGTCGTTCTTGTGGCTGGATCCCTTATCCGCACCTCCACTTTAAAGGCATTTTCCTCATCCGTCGCAGCTCAGAACCTTTCAACAGATTTCCCAGAGGAGACTATCGTTCAGACCGGAAGCTCCTCCCTTCTTGTTGCGCAGTTCATTTTCCAGCACCGACATCTTATTTATTTTGTTTACATTAGACAAAGTTCGCAAAGTGTAGTCAAAAGATATATCTTCATAGCTTTCTATCAAACATTCCATCGCCGAGTGGCACCACCCTATTCAGCTTTCGATCTCCCCCCCCCTTTTCTCCTTTAAAATCTCTTTTTAAACGGGAGTACGGGAATCCCTCCTCCTCTTTCGCTGGGGGGGGGAGAAACGCGCTTAGCTTCTTTTCATCGTAACGATCGACAACTTACAATTTCAGCCGCTCCTTTTCTTTTCATTTGCATTTTTGCTTCATCACTCAGGTGGCATCTGGCGGCTCCGCTAAGCCCTGTGTGGGGCCGCGGGCGCGGCGAGGTTCATTGGGGCATGAGAAGAGCCTCAATTTCCGACCATTCAGTCAAGAAAGAGGCTTTCCTCTCGCGCACCCCGAGTCGGAGCCCCTCCTGGGGCTCGTCCGGGTCTCCGCTTGCGTGGATCCCCCCCTCGGCCGCGGGCGGGCGAAGACGCCCTCGGGAGCGCCCCGAGGTTGCGTCCGCCATTCGCGGAAGCCAAACCGGAAGCCTGTGATTCTCTAATTTGATCCTGCACAGTGGTCGTGATCTTGGCAGCTTTTTAGACCCTGTCCTGTGCAGATTGCACTCAGTCCTCCAAATGGATCGATCCCAAGTGATTCTTAAGTTTGACTGTTTGCAGAAGGTCCATGTGGCTCAGCCGCCATGTTAATGTTAGGCTTCCATAGACTGCCAAAATGGTTCCCCTCCCAATTTTGTTCACTAAAGCATTAAAGGGGAAAATGTTTTCAAAGCTTTAGGCTTCCCATCCCACTCGCTCTCTCTTTGTCTCTTTTTACATCTCATGACAATTTCATTCTGTGCTGACAATTCCCACCCCCTTATTTTGTTTGCATGCAGCACTGAAATCCTTTTTTTTGTACTGGGGACATTGCCATTTGCCTCCTCTCTGATCCATTTTTCAAGTCAATACCAGCAGGGAAGTAAACCTCACACACCTCCTTTTAAATTCCCCCCATTGTTTTAATTTTTTAATTCAGCAGTCAGAGACTAGCAATAGTCTCATATCGCTAGACTCATGCCGCTTGTCAAAACAAATTAAAAGTTTTAAAATAAGGGGGAATGGGGTTTGTACACTGATGAAGGGGGGAGGATGGCGGAAAGTGCAGAGTGGGCAGAACAACCTCAAAGTGAGTGGAAAGTGACCTTTGAGGGGTGGCAAAAGGGCAGGGGGGGAGAATTTGAGGGAATCTGTATACTTTTGAATTACCCTCAGCTTGGATGCAAAACAAGGGAAAAACTGGTACAAAAGCAGTCTCAGAAAACCCGGGGAAACGGCAACCAGAAAGCAAACTGAGAACTGAAGGGAGGAAAATCAATACAGAATGACAAAGAAAGCCCGACGGACATGCATGGTAAAAGCAAGGCCATTATGTTTACTTGGGCTGGATTTTCCTTCCAATAGAGATACAAGTAGAAAATGGCATACTTAGAGATAAGACTCCAAGTGTCAGACCCAGAGTGAGCTTATTAAAAAGAACTGTAAAGAATATATGAATGAGGAATATTCTGCAGAATATCTGAGAAGTATATAAGCACTATCACCTTGCTAAATTGTTTTTCAGTGTCTCACCTAATTCAGTAAGCGTAAAGATAGCAATAATAAAGACTGAAGTTTTCAAGAATGAGGGTGGCCGTGCAAAATGTTGCTCATTCCCACCCTTGACTCTTCACTCTCTAATTTAATAATTTTGTATGGATAAACAATAAAAGCTAACCTGAACTACCAGGGACCAGTTTTTGATACCTGCCAAGTTTATATAATGCCAAAATTCCTTCTTCTACGTAGTTATCAGAAATACAGTCACACTGCTTTTCCACTGCATTTGGTAATTATAGCCTTTCTTATTCCTATATGATTTAGCAGCCTCAAGCATCTCCTGGATCTCACCACAGTGCAAACTGGATTACAGCCACAGAGCCAGCAATAAGGGATGGTGTTGCAGAAGAGTAAGTATTATTATTATTATTATTAATAATAATAATAATTGTAATTAATGTATTCAGATGCTGCCCTGAATGCATTAGGAGGTATGTGAATCCTCCCATAGAGAAGCCATGCAAAGCTTCAAGCTTCGGCAGGGATTCGCGCCGAAAAGTATTGTGGCCAATCAGATTTGAATGTTTGTAAGCGGGACCGCTTATGATTGGTCGTTCATGCACACAACCTGATAGGTTGGTTTAATGTACAGTAGGTGTGGCTACATTAGCCCGGAGTGTTTAAATACCGAGCAGCTGAAATGGACAAGCTGTTCGGGCTATGAGGAGTTGTACCGTGTCAGAAGAAGTCGATTGAAGAGCTGAATAAACTTGAGTTTTGCTGAATCACTCTCTGACTATTATTGTTAAGCACGGACTTAACAATTGGCGACGAGGATGGGATCCAGGAGCGGGTAGGCAGCCCCGCTGGTCCCGACCCAACGACGGACAACCAAGAGCAGCAGCTCGCCGTGGCAGAGCAGCGACAGGCACCACCAGCACCGGTGGCAGCGATCGCAGCTATGGCCAATAGCCCGAAGTTCGAGGCATTCGAACCAGCGACCGAGGACTGGGACGCCTACCTGCTGAGGTTCGGGTTCCACCTCGAAGCGAACGACATCACCACGGAGGAGAAGAAGCGAGCCACCCTCCTGAGCTCTTGTGGCAAGAGCGTGTTCGATGTCGCCAGGTCTCTGGTGGCACCAGCGGACATCGGAACAGTGCCGTTCAAAGAGCTGACGGAGAAGTTGAAGGCACACTTCTCCCCGCAACCGTCGGAGATCGCTAGCCGGCACGCGTTCTTCAAGAGGAACCAAGCGCCCAACGAGACGGTGTCCGATTTTGTAGCGGCTCTACGTAAAGCGGCCAGACCGTGTAACTTCGCCGACGTAGAGGAGGCCCTGCGAGACAGGCTGGGGTGTGGCATGCGGGACGAGCGGCTTCAGCAGCGCCTGTTCGCAAAGGCGAAATTGACCTGGGCCGACGCCTACAATGAAGCCATCGCAGCGGAGACAGCGGACAAATCGACCCGTGAGGTGCGTCAGCGTTTGGCTGCAACAGAGCTACGCGTTCACCACCAGGGGTCCGAAGGAGAGCGTGAGGGCGCGGCTGAAGACGTCTGCGCTGTGAAAGGGCCTACGAACCAGTGGACCCAAGTGAGGACTTCGCCCACTCCTCCTTGCACCGGCTGTGGCGGCAAGCACTCCAGAGAAAGCTGCTGGACCAAGGACGTCGACTGCAGAGCATGCGGAAGGCGGGGCCACATCGCTCGTGCTTGCAGAGCGCCAAAAGTTTCAACGCCCTCAAACAAGCCCAGGTAGCAACGTTCCCGAGCCGCACAGCATGAAACCAGCTGCCAGGTCATACGATCAAGCGCACCTTCGGTCCAACGAATCGGAGGCGCAGGCAAGATCAACGTGACGGTCTATCTAGACGGCGTTCCGTGCGGCATGGAGGTCGACTCGGGATCGTCGGTGACCGTGATTTCGTCCAAGTCGTGGCAGCAGTTGTTCCCCACCAGGAGTCGTCGCCGGCTGAAGCCAGCAGACACACAAGTGTCCGACTTCCAGGGCAAGCGTATACCTCTGGCAGGGAGGGATACGTTTGAAGTTGAGTTTAAGGGGAAACGGGCGACCCTTTCATTGTTGGTGGCTGAGGGGGACAGAGTGAATTTGCTGGGGCTTGACTGGTTTGAACCGTTGGGAATTGCTATTTCTGGCATTAATAGTGTAACGAAGAATAAATGGGCTGTACTGTATAAGGAATTTACTGATGTGTTTGGGGGTGGCCTGGGAAAATATACGGGACCCCCAGTAGCGTTTGAACTTGATCCTGCCGTGAGGCCAGTTCGCCTCAAGTATAGGAAGGTTCCTATTCCTCTTAAGCCCAGAATTGAAGCAGAGCTGGACAAGCTCATCGAGCAGGGCGTGTTAGAGCCAGTTCCCTTCAGTCGGTGGGAGACCCCCATTGTGACCCCTGTTAAGCCGGACGGGTCAGTACGCATCTGTGCTGACTACAAATGCACCATAAATCGGGCATTGCAGCAGCACTCGTACCCAGTACCGGTAATTAGCCATGTCTTGGCATCGTTGGGGGGGGGGGAAGTTTTTGCGAAGTTCGACTTGGCCCAGGCTTACCAGCAGCTCCCCGTGACCAAGGAAGCTGCTGAGGCACAGACCATTGTAACACACAGGGGGGCGTTCAAAGTAAACAGGCTCCAATTTGGTGTGAACGTGGCCCCAGGGATTTTTCAGGGCCTCATGGAAGGGCTGTTGAGGGGGGTACCAGGGACGGTCCCTTATTTTGATGACGTTCTCATTGCGGGGAGATCCGATGAGGAACTTATGCACAGGGTCAGAGAAGTGCTCAAGCGTTTCAGTAAGGCCGGATTGAAAGTAAAACAATCCAAATGTTTGATAGGGGTGGATAGCGTGGAATTCCTGGGGTTCAGAGTGGACCAAAATGGCGTACACCCCACAGACGAGAAGGTGAGAGCTATCAAAAATGCCCCTTGCCCCATGAATAAAAAAGAGCTGCAAGCCTTCCTCGGGCTGCTCAATTTTTATCACGCCTTTCTCCCCCACAAGGCGTCCGTGGCGGCACCTTTACATGCGCTCCTTCACAAGGACGCAAAATGGCGGTGGGGTGCTGAACAGAAAAAGGCGTTTGAAGGGGTGAAATCATTGTTGTCATCAAATGCAGTGTTGACCCATTACGATGACCAGAAATTGTTGGTTTTGGCCGCAGATGCCTCTCCTTATGGGGTGGGGGCGGTATTGAGTCATGTACTGGAAGACGGACGGGAGGCCCCCGTCGCGTTTTACTCAAGGTCGCTATCTGAAGCTGAGAAGAACTATGCTCAAATAGACAAAGAGGGACTGGCGCTGGTATCAGCAGTTAAAAAATTTCACGATTTCTTGTATGGCAGACATTTCCTACTTGTGACGGACCACAAGCCGCTGCTTGGGATCTTTGCCCCGGACCGGCAACTCCCAAGCATAATGTCTGCCAGAATGCTCCGTTGGGCCTTGTTTTTGTCGGCCTATGACTATGACCTGGAGCACCGGCCGGGCAAGGCCATCGGACATGCGGACGCATTAAGTCGTTGCCCGCTGCCCGGCCGAGATTTGGACCCTGCACCAACGGCCTCTGTGTTGGCCATCGAAGAACTGCCGCAAGCACCCATCACCTCCAAGGACATTGCCGCTGCGTCGGCTAAGGACAGTGTAATTGCGAGAGTTCTTAACTGGGTTTGGAGGGGGTGGCCGATGGGTGCTATGGAGCCGGAATTTCGCATGTACAAAGCGCGCCAAAACGAGCTGTCTGTGTCTAAGGGCTGTTTACTGTGGGGAAACCGGGTGGTGGTGCCTCACTGCCTCAGACAAAAAGTGCTGAAATCACTCCATGAGGGCCATCCAGGCATGGTCCACATGAAGGCACTGGCCCGTGGTTATGTGTGGTGGCCCGGGCTTGATGCGGAAATCGAGGATTGGGTCAGAGTGTGTGAGCCCTGTCAGCAGGCTAGGCCTGAGCCGTCAACCGCCACTCCGCAGCGTTGGGAGTCGGCGGGAAAACCTTGGTCGAGGCTCCACCTAGATTTTGCGGGGCCAGTTCAGGGACAAATGTTCCTTATTATTGTTGATGCGTATACGAAATGGTTGGAGGTTGCGCACATGCATTCCACCACTTCCGGGTCTGTCATCAATGTGCTGCGGCGCCTGTTTGCGACCCATGGTATACCCGATGTATTGGTCAGTGATAACGGGACGCAATTTACATCTATGGAGTTTGAAAAATTTCTGGCTGATAACGGAATCAGGCAGATTACATCGGCCCCATTCCACCCGGCTTCGAATGGCCAGGCGGAAAGAATGGTAAGAACCACCAAAGAAGCACTGAGTAAATTGGTTTATGGTGACTGGGGGGTAAAGCTAGCTTCGTTCTTGCTCAGACAGCATGTTACCCCGTGTTCAGCAACTGGCTGCAGTCCGGCCGAAATGCTGATGGGCCGGAGGCTGGCAACCGTATTAGATAGGTTGCACCCGGACCTGAAGTACCTTAAACCACCACAGCAGAGTGAACAAACGAAGGTACGCATATATGAGAAAGATGACAAGGTGTATGCGAGAAATTATGCCAGTGGTCACTTGTGGCTCCCAGCCACTATTGTTGAAACTGTTGGGTCCAGAATGTATGTGGTACGACTTGCTGATGGTCGCAAGTGGCGTAGGCACATAGACCAGTTGAGGCAACGGTGGGCGACTGACCGACCCAACGCGTTGCCAACTGAGTCAATAGACCCCGAGGACCTTCCGAGACCTCCCCCGGAGGCGAGTGCTGACGGGCCTGAGGGCATCAGCACTGTTCCAGAGGCAGGGCAGACCCCTACTCTCGAACCGAACGTAACGGATGGAAGTGTTCCTGACTCTGCGGTCCCAGAGTCGAACGAAGTGCCACTGACGGAGATGTGCCCTGAGCCTAGTCCACCTAGGAGGTCTCAGAGAACGAGAAGAGCACCTTCCTACCTAAGTGATTATGATTGTTCGTAGTTGTTTTTGCTTAGGGGGGAGGGATTTGTAATGTATTCAGATGCTGCCATGAATGCATTAGGAGGTATGTGAATCCTCCCATAGAGTTCCTGACTCTGCGGTCCCAGAGTCGAACGAAGTGCCACTGACGGAGATGTGCCCTGAGCCTAGTCCACCTAGGAGGTCTCAGAGAACGAGAAGAGCACCTTCCTACCTAAGTGATTATGATTGTTCGTAGTTGTTTTTGCTTAGGGGGGAGGGATTTGTAATGTATTCAGATGCTGCCATGAATGCATTAGGAGGTATGTGAATCCTCCCATAGAGAAGCCATGCAAAGCTTCAAGCTTCGGCAGGGATTCGCGCCGAAAAGTATTGTGGCCAATCAGATTTGAATGTATGTAAGCGGGACCGCTTATGATTGGTCGTTCATGCACACAACCTGATAGGTTGGTTTAATGTACAGTAGGTGTGGCTACATTAGCCCGGAGTGTTTAAATACCGAGCAGCTGAAATGGACAAGCTGTTCGGGCTATGAGGAGTTGTACCGTGTCAGAAGAAGTTGATTGAAGAGCTGAATAAACTTGAGTTTTGCTGAATCACTCTCTGACTATGATTGTTAAGCACGGACTTAACAATAATCATCATCTTTATAAAGTATTTCCTTAGGGTATCTCAGGGTATATCTGCACTAGAAATTGTGCAGAGATTTCCATTGGAGATCCCCAGTCACTCTTTCAGAACTACAGCTTTCCACCTTTGGCTACTCCCAGAGTTACTTTGGGTGAGGGAATGACTATTAAATAAATTTAAATCTATAGGATAGATATATCTTTGGTTTCTTGTTCATGTTCCAATGGTGTGAGACAGTTGGCTGTTTGGGCTCTTTAAACAGCTGGATATATGGCAAAGAATCGGCATCTTCCCACCCACTGGTCTTAGCATTCTTGGGAAAGGGCGGGGGGGGGAGCCCTGAGGACCGTGACTGAAGCCAGTTCTATCCAGCTCTTGGATTCCAAATTAACTTGGCAGCTCTTGGAGGAAAAAAGTCAACCAGGCCCCCTCTTGACCATCATGCTGTCAACATGCCTGGCCCTAGTTATTCTGAAATTTTGTAAAGCTTGGAAGCTCAGGCTCTCCTGAATCCAGTAGATGCAAAGGTTTCATCTGAATTTATTCTTGCATTTGTGTTATGTGCCATCAAGTCATTTCCACCTTATGGCAACCCTATGAATTAATTTCATCCAAACCATTCTATCATTAACAGCCCCACTCAGGTCCTGCAAAATGAAGGCTGTGGGTTTCTTGATTGAATCAATCCATCTCATGTTGGGTCTTCCTCTTTTCCTACTGCCTTCAACTTTTCCTAGCGTTATTGTGTTACCAATGAGTCTTGTCTTCTCATGATGCGACCAAAGTATGATAATCTCAGTTTAGTTATTTTAGCTCCTAGGGAGAATTCAATCAGTCATTTATTACAGTCAAAGAACACCATAGCAAAACATACATGAAAAGAGTGGCTACAAGAACATATATATAATCTTCCATTAAAACTAGGGAGAATTCAGGCTTGAATTGATCTAGAACCCACATTTGTCTTTTTGGCGGTCCATGGTATTCATAAAAACTCTCCTCCAACACCCCATTTCAAATGAATCAACTATCATCCTGTCATCTTTCTTTACTGTCCATCTTTCACATCCAAATATAGTAATGGGGAATACCATAGTGAACTATCTTGATGTTGACCTCAAGTGACACTTTCCTTACATACCACAATCTACTCGGAAGGCCACCCTTCCAACTAGCAATCTCCTTCTGATTTCTTGGTTGCAGTCTCCCGTTTGGTTGATGAGATTGAGTCTTACCAAACAATGACATAATTAGAAGTGGGAGACTCACAATGACTTGCAAGGCAAAATCTCATGGTCCCACTCCCTTTTGGTTTTCCTCTTTGCCTCCCCCCTCCCCGGCAGTGGCTGCAGCCTCTCCCCTTTCCTTCTCTTCCACCCACTTACCTATTTCCTTTTACTGTTTGTTCCCCTCTCCCTCCCTTACCCACTTACCATTTTCTGTTCCCCTCTCCCAGCTTTCCCTTTTAACTTCTTTTGCTTTTCCCTCCTCCAGCATTACATCCCCTCTGTCCTACATGTTACCTTCTTGAGTCTCTGTTTCTCCCCACCCCACTTTGAGAGTCACTGAGGCTTGAAATCCTCAGAAGTGTTGGTTGCAAGCTGCCTAGTAACCCCACAAATAGACTCACAGTGTAGTCTTGTGAAATCATCATGGCACACTCTTCTTAAAGAAGCATACATTGCTTCTATGATTTACCTCCCATGTTTATAACCACCATTTTTTAAAAAAAACATTTCATATTGTTCTGCATTCTGTGGGGGGGGGGGTTGATCCATACTCTATGGTCCAGTTCAGATTTGGATATAATAATGATATATTATTTTAAAACAAAGAGTGTAAAGCGTGAAATAAATTAGCAAACACCCCATAGTTATCCTGAAAGAAATTAAGAATGAGACTGTCTAACCTCTCCCAATTTCAACTGTAGGCATGCAATGCTTTCATGGAAAAGTACTGAAGATGACACAACCCTCACTCATGGGACTGAAGCCTCTTTACCTTTGACGGGGAGCACTTTGCAGGGCACACCAAGCCTCCTGAGAAAAATATGGATGAAGCATAAAAAGAAAGCAGAATATCTGGGGGCCACCAATGGTGCCTTTGAGGCAGACTGACAAGCCTCCGCCTTGCTTTTGCGGGACAGAGGTTCCTTTGAGAGAATTCTGTTGCATTTATCCAGAAATGAATGAAGTGCTGGAGCTGCTCATACATACCCACACAAATATCATTTGTCCAACTTCCAGAAGCAAAAGGACTAAAAGCAAGAAAACAATGCAAACAACTTGATGGATATATTTGTGCATGCTTTGATCCCCATGAACTTGTTAACGAATCTGGCTAAGAACATGAGTCAATACATTGTTTCTTTATCTGTCCTGCTTGGTTTGGATTTATCAGGCAGCTGGGCTCAGAGAATTAATGTACTTCTAAATAGGCCCCACATCCATTACAGTGTGCCAGTAAAGTACAGTCCTGTATGTTATTGACATTCCTGACAAAAGATTCTGGTTTTCAGCCTTTCTATTTTCAGGGGTTTTGTTGTTGTTGTTGTTGTTTTGCTTTTTCTTGTTTGCTGAGGAAACCCCTGCACATTGCAGAAAGATTTACTAGAGCAAAAATTCAGTTCTCATGGTGTGCAGGCCAGGCCTACTTGACTTCACCATCGCCCCATGTGAAGATGCTGCACTCCCAAAAATATACCCAGCACAGTCCTGCAGTTTTGCCTGAGAATCATCAGCAGAGATGAGCAAACATCCCGAAAAGTTGTCTTCCATTCCTGACTTCTACTTAATGAAAAACTGCTAAGGAATTCCATGGTTCTCTGGAACACAGTTTGAAAACCACTGCTCTAAGCCAAGCCCAACTATCTTCTCTCTCAAGTAGGAAACTTAAAAAAAGAAATATACACCACTCTGTGCAGTCATGTATACCTGAAACTCAGCCACCAGAAAAAGTGATATTTAAAACCACTGAAGCATAAGCATAGATCAGTGACTAGTTAGCAGAAAAGCCTTGTAAGTGCAGATTTCTCTAGTATTTTGTTATATTATAGAATAGCTTTAAACAGTATAAAGGAGAAGTGGTGCATGTGACTATGCGTTTTACCTAACAAACAATCACAGTATTCTTTTAAAAATCATGCTTCCCCCTAATTTATTTAATTTATAACTCAGATATATCTGATAAGGTTTACAAAAGAAGTTGTAATTTATGTTATTTGGCAATGTTGAAACTTTCTTAAACGTAGCAAGTACCTGTTTTATTGTTTTAAATAAAGTTTTGTCCTTTTCCTGCAGTAAATTCTATAGAGCTGTTTGTCCTCAGAAAAGGTGTGTGTGTGTGGGGGGAGACAATTGTTCCATCTGAATTTAATAGGAATAAAAACAGGAGTGGAAGACCTGAGTCAGATTGAGGTGACAAGAGAGGAGATCCTACCACTGATAGACAGCTTTAAAAACTAATAAATCACCAGGCTCAGATGGCATACATCCAAGAGTTCTGAAAGAACTCAAATGTGAACTTGTGGCTCTCCTGACAAAAATATGTAATCTTTCATTAAAATCTGCCTCCATTCCTGAGGACTGGAAGGTAGCTAATGCCACTCCCATCTTTAAAAAGGGTTCCAGAGGAGATCTGGGAAATTACAGGCCAGTCCGTCTGACTGGACCTCCTGATGGCACCTGGTATTTTTGGCCACTGTGGGACAGAGTGTTGGACTGGATGGGCCATTGGCCTGATCCAGCATTGGCTTCTCTTATGTTCTCTTAAAATGTGAAATTATTTCCTTACTCTGGCATTTTTACTGTGTTTTCCATCATACTTCTAATAGCACATTCTTAAAGTTATTCCACAGCTAATATGATGCTGGCTAGCCTACATTTCAGTTTACTGGAGGGCTGGCCTGGTTCACATATTATGAAAGAACTGCAACTGTGGGATGTTGCCAACCTCCAGGTGGGGCCTGGAGTTCTCCCAGAATTACAACTGTTCTCCAGACTACAGTGATCAGTTTCTCTGCAAAAAAAATGGCAGCTTCAGAGAGCAAACTCCATGGGATACCATAGATTCTAGGTGCAATCCCTCCCCAATTCTCCCTCCCCATTCACCCCCCTCAGGGTTTTCCCAGCCAGAGCTGGCAAACCTACGCCCACCAGGCAACATCCTGTATTTTGCAGTCAGTTACATCTTTCTCTCCCACTAACAAAGATATGTGAGATCTACAGGTACTGATTGCAAGCTTGCTGGGATCTAGAACCTCCTGAAACCTTGCCAAGCCGAACTCTCCATGCATGGAGAATACAGTTGGCACAGACTTCCGGTTTAAGCGTTTCGCCACTCGGACGCATCCCGTCTCGCTCTGATGGGAACGGCCGAGACCCGGCTGATGGGAGGGGTCTGAGTTTGTCCCGGACCTCCCTGGGGTCTCTGTAGGAGACCCTCAGCCTGGGGAGCTGAGGAGAGCCTCTTCCAAGGCGACAGCCAAGGAATTGAAGCTCACTTTATCCCCGAAAGGTACCATCGCCGTGGAGCCAATATGGCGCTTAGAGACAACTGCCGGAGCAAGCGACCACGATCAAAGCTTTAAAATGCTTCCAAAAGATCTCCAGGTCTCCAAACTGTGAGTTAAGCAATGTTCAGGTGAAAAAGCGAACGGACCTTGGTAGTAATTGGAAGCGCCTAAGTTTGAAGTGTGGAGGGAGAGGGACCAAGCACCCCCCCTCTTTTTAAAAAAGATTTAAAAGCGGGTTTAAATTGGAAATAAAAAGACTTAGAGCTAAAATAAGCACACAAGAAGTTAAGAGAATGCAAAAACTGCCAATATATACAAAGCAGATTTAAATCATATAACTTTTGCCTTGTTTTGGAAAACTTACTTCTTGTTGATATTATGGCTAGGAGAGGATGGAGGGTGCCGGAGAAAAACTGGTGACCGAAAATAACATACCAACGACTGCGTCTCAGAACCAGGAAGTAACTATAGACTATTCTTCACTGTTAGCAAATGCACTGCGCCCCCTAATGGAACAGATGACTAACCTCAACGCCAAACTGGACAGTGTTCAAAAACAACTGAATCAAATGGATAAAAGAACTTCAGTAACCGAGAAAACGTTGAAAAAAATGGAAAAACAGACTGAGAGTATCAACAAGAAAGTAGATGAAGCAGACAAAGAAAGATCCTCTGATAAAACGCATTAATACAGTTCCATCTGGAAAGATCTACGTATGTTCTACATTTCCATGGGATCCCTGAAGAGAAGAACGAGGACTTAAAAGAACTTTTGGCGGAGGCTTTGGCTCCATTAATGGATTACAAACAGGAAGACCTATTGAAAGAGAAGGATGTAGACTACAGGACTTACCCGGATTTTATAAAGAAAAATAAACTCTCAGGGGAAACCTATTTAAAATTCACAAAACGATCTACCAGAGAACAGGTGTTAAAATCTACAATGGGAAAACCCTTAAAAATTAAGAATGAAGAGATAAAAATACTAAAAGACATTCCCTTTGAAGTCAGAAAACAGAGGAAACTATACAGGATGCTTACTCTCACTCTGCAAAAAAAAGGGAGTTCCATACAGATGGTTATTCCCAGAAGGATTGAGCTTCAATTATATGGATAAAAAATACAAAATTGACTCTGTTCCAAAAGCGGGAAAATGTATGGACCAAATGTTCAACTCAAAATATAAGAAGAAAGAAAAGAACTCAAAACCAAATCAGGAGGAAGAAGAAGAGTCCTACTCACAGGATTCAAAAAGCACTACTTCCACATCACCAGAATCATCGGAATCGGAGAAAGGAGCAGCCACCCCCAAACTCAAGAAAATGAAGAAATGCAGGAAGAAAAGACTCTAGAACAAGAACAACAGTTCTTAAAGGCAGAATTTGTGTTAAGCTATTAAATGCATATTCTTAAAGTAATACTGTAATGAACCAACCTGTATACCAAACTTGTAACATTAGGTTAATAGGCCTTACTTTTAGCTAATTAGATCGTGACCAGTGTTCCCTCTAAGCTGGGTTAGTGTGAGCTAGCTCACAGTTTTTTAGCCTCTGGCTCACACATTTTTGTCTCAGCTCAGGAAGGAGAGCTCCAGAGCAAACTGATTTATGCAGCAGCCAAATCACTTGCTCACAACTTTGATGCTGGCAGCTCACAAAGTAGACTTTTTGCTCACAAGACTCTGCAGCTTAGAGGGAACATTGATCGTGACATGTATTAGCTTTCCTTTCCCCAAATCCAATAGATGAAATAGTTTAGAATAGTAGCTTCCTTTCCCCATCAGGTAGTTTTTATGTATTAGTTTATCCTCTTCCCATTACCCATAGCTATAGCGTTAGGGTTTTAGTTTCCCTCCCCCTTCCAACTTTTAGTTGTAGTTTTTGTAGTTTATAGAAAATGCAAATAAAAAAATCCCCTTCGAGGGCCATACAAAAAAGAGAGAGAATATAGTTGGCACGCATCTCCTAGGAGCCTTTTTTGGTTTATATTGTAATCCGCACTGCACATTAGGACAGAAACTGATGTAGTTGGTTGGTATCCCAGGTTTTAACAGTCTGAAAGAATCCGAACTCTGCTTCCTAGTGCACATTTCCATGGTGGAAGAACAGCCCCAGTAACACATGGGCAGTACAACCCTGAGGGTCGCCTCCACCCCAGTGGGTGGCCACTAGCCCACTCCCTAATGTCTCTTGGCAGAGGCTAGGAGACAGCCAAGAGATCAAAAAGTGGGGCTGTGAGTGCTGCAACTGTGCCAACATTCTCAGAGACCATGTTGTCTCTGCCTGAGTAAGACACAGGTTGTGACAGCAGAGTTGTGACAGAGGACAGAAAGAACCAATCACAGGCCACCAGGAATGCGGATGGGACCCTGCACATATTGCACCTGTGGGACAGGGAAGGGCCATGGACAGTGGGGCTATGTTTGCAGAACACTAGGGTTGCCAGGTCCCTCTTGACAACTGGTAGGGGATGGGGGTAGGGTTGCCAGAACAAGGTTGAGAAACTCCTAGAAATGTGGTGGTGGAGCCTGGGGAGGCCAGGGAACTCAGTGGGGTACAATGCCATAGAGTGCACCCTCCAAAATATCTGTTTTCTCCAGGGGAA